CTGCCTTGCTTTGTTCTCTCCAAAGTGCAGTTTGAGTTGCTACCTGAATCTATGTCTCTTGGATTGCAATCCTTTGCTCAAAGAAGTGCTTTTTGTTTCTTATTATAGTCTAAATCTCTTCTTTGGTTAATAGAACCATGACATTGAAGACTGAAAGTTGCACTATATTGATGGCCCAGATTCAGATATGGTATTGCTGGTTGTGGTGTGATTCTCTGAATGGTGAATATCTTTAAAACTTGAACAACAAACAAAACTTGGTAGTTGCATTTCTGAAAAATTCAGTGTGTATGGGCCTGGCATAGTAGTTGATAAATATTCAAGGAATAAATTAAAATAATTGAAAAATCAAGCATGTTTTTACATGTGATTGTAAAGCCCAGATTATAAGCAGGTTTTTCATGTGTGTGTGTGTGTGTGTGTGTGTGTGTGTGTGTATGTGTAGGGTGGGACTCCTGTCCTTCAGCCTCTAATACAGTGGTTCTCAACCTTCTGGCCCTTTAAATACAGTTCCTCATGTTGTGACCCAACCATAAAATTATTTTCGTTGCTACTTCATAACTGTAATGTTGCTACTGTTATGAATCATAATGTAAATATCTGATATGCAGGATGGTCTTAGGCGACCCCTGTGAAAGGGTTGTTTGACCGCCAAAGGGGTCGCGACCCACAGGTTGAGAACCGCTGCTCTAATACCTGCAGTGATCCCATTATTGAAACAACCAAAAGTAAGTCTTATTAATTTACCAAATTTCTCTTTAAGAAACAGACTGCCTTAATTGACAACCACCCTTTAGAGTTGCTGATCTAATGACTAAAGAGGAGGCGGGACAACCCCAAACACAACAACCCCGCCCTTCCCGTTTCTCAGAAAGCATGAGGCTTTGGAGAAACAGGAAACTTAGGACTGGAAAGTCCCGTTTTCTAACCTATAACAGCACTTTTTGACCAGAGACCAGTGACGAGTACTCCGGACTCGAGTTTTGATTGGGCCGTTGAAAAACTAAAATAGCGAGTTAAAAAGGGGAACACCCAAGTGCTTTCCGCCGCCCGGTTGGTGGGAATAAGTGTCGCGACTCCTCGCTAGGTGACTTGGGCTCTGTTCTTCGCTGGGCACTGCTGCCAGCCTGGGCGCGTCCAAGGTGTGTACCCCCTCCCGCGTCGCCCTCTCCCACTGCATCTCTCTCTCTCTCTCTCTCTCTCTCTCTCTCTCTCTCTCTCTCTTTTTAAAAATGTATTTTATTGATTTTTTACAGAGAGGAAGGGAATGGAATAGAGAGTTAGAAACATTGATCAGCTGCCTCCTGCACACCTCCTACTGGGGATGTGCCCGCAACCAAGGTACATGCCCTTGACCGGAATCGAACCTGAGACCCTTCAGTCCGCAGGCCGACGCTCTAGCCTCGGAGCCAAACTGGTTAGGGCTGCATCTTTCTCTTTACCTGCCGGTTCTTCCTGGCCCTTTGACTCCGGTCATCCCCGCCCAGGTTCAGCTCGTTCAGGCGCCTTCGGGATCAGAGAAGGAAGCCACGGAGAGGCCGGAGTGTGGCTCACGGCTGGATAGCTACCTGGGTAGGGAGAGAGGAACAGCACAAAATATATAGGTTTTTGATGAGCCGCTGGGTGCGTGAGTGGGGTTGGGGGTGGGGGGCACTGCTTCCCGGGCTGCCCAGCCTGCTCCCAGAGGGTTCGCTTTCCCTGGGCGCATGAGAAGGGGGAGAGGCCGGTGGGTCAGGAAAGGCAAACACATAGGTAGTTGAGAGCGTCAGCATAAGAAACAGCCAAACCTGTAGAGAATTTTTGTGAGTTCATTTGAGCCAATCTGTCAACAATTGCTGAGAAGCAAAATCTCTACGAATTGAGAAAACGGTCCAGAGAATGGTAGTTTTGCATCTTTTTTACAAAACATTATAATCAAAAGAGGAGGCATAAATGGGTTACATGAAATCCATTGGTGATAGATTAGGGAGGTAGGATAAAGCAAGTGGGGGGACCTCTGGGACTGGATTAAAAGTAAAATGATGGACACGTCTTTTACATAGGTGGGTAAGGATAGTTAAAGGTCTGCAATGAACGTGGTCACAATAACAATGAGAGGATTTGTGGTCCCCCGCCCTGGTGCACTGGCTGTGCCCTGAGGCGTCTGGAAACCCGGACCTTACCCTGACATTCCAAAGGTATGTTATGGAAGATGCAAAAAGACAATAGACAGGCTTAATTAAGGTAAAGATTGACTTTTCTCAGGTAAGAGTCTAGCCTAGGACATGACTCTCTGCCACAAACTGCTTTTAGTTAAAAAGTTTTAATTTCAGACCATCCTATGTGGTTACTTTAGGCCGTTGAGTTTGTGAGGCTGCCATGCAGGCCTTCCCTGGGCTTGTCAGGTTTAGTATGTGGCTCCTTTTCATCCGCAAGGGTAGTGATTGGTGAGAGGCAGGTGTCTGTGGGGCCAAGAAAAGTATTGCCTAGGTAAGTATGTCAGTGCTTCTGATGGAGCGCTGAGCCCTGCACCCTCTTTTGGACTCACCCCATTTTCCTCTCGAGCTCCATACCTCCTCAACCAGGTTCTAAGACTTGTGTCTCAATCCAGATTGTGTCAGCTGTTTTGTATAACATTTCTATGACAGCTTATGTGTTTATTTTGGCAAAAGCCTTATTGAGATATAATTCACAAACTATACAATTTACCTATATAAATATATAATCCAATGGGTTTTAATATATTCACAATGTTGTGTAACCATCACTTCAATTTTATTGATTTGTTTTTGTTTTTCAGAAAAAGAGGAAGGGGGAGAGAGAGAGAGAAACATCCATGTGAGAGAAAAACATTGATTGGTTGCCTCCCATACACGCCCGCAACCTTCTGGTGTATGGGAGGACACTCCAACCAACTGAGCCACCTAGCTAGGGCTCATCTCCTCAATTTTAGAACATTTACATCAACCCCAAAAGAAACCCTATATCCATTAGCAATCACTCCCATTTCTCCCCATGGATTTGCCTATTATTGACATTTCATATAAATGGAAGCATACAGTAAGTGGTCTTTGTGATTGACTTATCACTTAATATGAAGTTTTCAAAGGTCACCCATACTACAGCAAGTATCAGCATTTTATTCTTTTTTGTGCTAAATAATTCTCCATTGTCTGGATATGCCACGTTTTGTTTATCCATTCATCAGTTAATGGGCATTTGAGTTGTTTCCACTTTCCATTATTATGAATAATGCTGTTGTCAATATTCATATACAAGTTTTCCATGTGAACCTATGCTTTCAATTCTCTTGGGTATAAACCTAGGAGTGGAATTGCTGGGTCATCTGGTAACTCTATGTTTAACATTTTGAGGAACTTCCAAACTGTTTTCCAAAGCTATCACACCATTTTACATTCCCATCAGCAGTGTATGAGAGTTCCAATTTTTCTGTATCCTTGCCAACACTTATTATCTTTTATATTATTGCCATCCTACTCGCTGTGAAATGGTATTTCATTATGGCTTTTATTTGCCTTTTTTTTAAAAAAATATTTTTTATTCCGTTTACGGTGTTGATCATTTCTATCTACCACAGTTCAAGTAGCCTCACAAGCTGCTCTTGGTGTTTCTCATTATCATACAACTGGTGAGGACAGAGACTGACCTTGACTAATTTCCCCTCTTCAGTTCTACAAGAGCCTGTGAAGTACTGCGCAATTAAGAATGTAGAGAGAAGTAAAGGTCTTATTGCATGGCTGAAAAAGGATTAATTTCACAAAGAGCAGGCTAGTTATAATTCTAGTAGTATTTCCTATGCACCCTTCGGCACAGAGCCATTTTCTGTGTGCTACAAGAATAAAAGAACAAGCACTGTGAAAAAAAAAATATATATTTTTTATTGATTTTTTACAGAGAGGAAGGGAGAGAGAAAGAGAGTCAGAAACATCAATGAGAGAGAAACATTGATCAGCTGCCTCCTGCACACCCCCCACTGGGGATGTGCCCACAACCAAGGTACATGCCCTTGACCAGAATCAAACCTGGGGTCCTTCAATCCACAGGCCAACGCTCTATCCACTGAGCCAAACCGGTTAGGGCTATTTGCCTTTTCTTAATGACTAATGATACATTATTTTAAAATTACAAAATAATTTATAGAGCTTTCATAAAATTTTGAGAACTTTAACCATCTAGGTCATGTACCCAAAAGCCACAGAGAGTAGACTCAAACCAAACTGTGATGAGTGCTTGAACTCCATCCCCTCATTCCTAGAACAGAATCTGGGCTAAAACTCTTCAAAACTCCACTTGCTGCCTCTGTTAGAAAGAGAATTCTGCACATTTGTAATACCTTAACTAATAATAAAAAAAAAAAAAAGAAAAAGAAAAAAAAAAACAAATAATAAAAAAAAAAAAGAGAATTCTGGGCAAGATGAAACTTTTGTACATGAACTCAATAGTTCATTTCTTAGTTGCTATTAGAAACTCAAATGCACAGAACTTTTTGGTCTCTCCATTTTTACTTTGTAAAAAAGTGTATCCTGGAATTCCTCCTAGTGGCTCTTGAGTGAAGTCGTGACCCTTTCTTGGTGTTTATGATTGTGTGCCCTTCTCCCCCTACTTTCAGGACATGGAATAAGGAGGGACACAAAGCTTAAGCTTTGTTTAAATGCATAACTATAAAAAATGTTCGATATGCATTTTCGCTATATATCTTTACATTTTTTACTACTGTCAATCTTATTTTAACTATTAATAAAGCTTACTTTTTTCTCATTTTTCAGTTAAAAATTCAGTTTTGTAAGTGGCTCCCAGAAGCTTCACACCTCCTCACCCCCGTGGGAACACAGCCGTTGTGGAGGTGGAGCCAGGACTGGAACCAGGATCAGTGTTCAGACAGACTCGAAAATCTGGACTTTAAATTCTTATGTAAGTCAGAGAGTGACTGACCATCATCTGTGAGACGCTGAGGACTTTTAACATTCAGTGTAAACTGAGGCCTGGGTCCAAAAAGCACAATGAATGCAAGTACATGCTATGGTAGTGTGGTGAATTCTAGACAAGCTCGAGAATTTTGTACAGCTCGGGGAGGAGGCCCAATTCCTGAGGTGGTCTTGGAATCGGAACTGATAGAACTCGGAGAAAGTGAGGAAGTGGTTGACCTCACCTCTGACACTCTCGAACCTGCAGTGATTGACCTAACTCACCATGACTCTGTTGTGATTACTGAGGAAAGGAGGAGGCCAAGGAGAAACAAAAGGTCACTCCAAGGACAAACTGGCATCTGTGTGCTGAGCAGTGAAAAGAAGCGGGTGATGAGAGACAGAGATGTATATGCCCTGGAAAAAGAAACTTTTAGGTGCGCACTACCTGGTTATGTCCAGTGCCGGATTTGTATGGACGGGTACTTGGAGATTGAATTGAGTAGACGGCATATCTATTCTACAGCATGTGGCCACATCTTCTGTAGTCAGTGCCTCTGCACTTTCCTTCGAAATACTAAAAGTTGCCCAGTTTGTTTGAAAAAAATTGACCGCCATCAGTACCACCGAATTTATATATAACGTGTGCTTTGTTGCTCAGGATAGACAAACCCCCTGACTGGATTTTTCCACGTCTTTGCGCAGAAACTATGGAGTTGTTGGTATCCAATGCTCTGAGCTCCGAAAGTCTGATTTTAAACATTGTTCTCTTGAGTGTATGAAAACTCTTTTATTGCTCACAAATGACGAGACTGCTTTTTTATTCCTTTGGCTTCATGCTGCAGGCCTGGACTTTTGTTGCTATAGTGAATCAGAAACTGGTGGTTGTCCTCAAAGCAATTTTCCTTTTTTCTTCTTCTCATAGTAATCAATTTTTAACTGGTCACATGTGGGCATTTTGGATCATGTAAATAAGAGCAACATCCTAGAGATGGGGAAGCAAGTAGATGGAAGGAAGCTGGGAGACAACTCTGAAAACCAGAGCCATAAATACAAGTTTGGACTTTTATGAGATAAATAAATAAACTTCATTCTTTAAGCAACTATTATACTGGGTCTTGTTTAGAGCAATTGAGCCCTTATTTTAATTAATGGACTAGGCAGGGTGCTGTCTCTGGGTTTCTCTGGATTTCCTGCTTCCACTGAGTGGAAGGAAGTCAGTCCTACCTGTCCAACCAGCAGGGTGGAGTGGGGTATTACCATGGGTAGGCACCAGGTCCTTCTGGGACTAGTGGCTTTCAAGGCCGGCCTGGGGAGCTGCCTAGGCACACTGAAATCTAGAGTTGTGGTTCTGTGCTCTCTGACCTGCTGAGCCGGAAAGCGGCTGCCTTCACCCTGGCTTTACAGGTATGCCTGCCTTCTACCACACTGAGCTGATCAACAAGTTGGTACACTTCTCTGAACAAACACATCACTGCCTCACCATTCCAACTGCTTCGGCAGCCTGGCTAGGTACCGGCCTTGGGAAGACCTCCTCCCCTCCCCACCACAAATGCACACATTAGCTTTTTTCTTTTGCAGAGAATCACTTAGCACAGTTCAGCTTGCACTTAGAATTGGAGAGGGCGTGATTTCCATGGTGCGCTTACCTTTTCCTTCAGAATGAAATGTGCAGTGAAGTTTGTTCCTTACTTACAATGGTGGTAGCCGTGTTGCTTTCTTCCAGGGAGACTCAGTCTTACCAGTGGAGCAGTGCCCATCCCTGCATCATGACTGTCTACGCACTGCAATCTCTGGAATGTCCTGTACTCCAGACCTCAGTTGCTTGACTTAGCATAGGATATGCAAGATAAATGTGGTATACTTCCTTCTGTGCGTTCTTTTGTATGTTCTGAAATGAAATGAGGAAGAAAAAGAACATGAAAATGAAAAATAGTAGAAGAAAGTTCTAAGTATTAATCTTCTTACATTTCAATAGGCCATCTTATGCATCTCACTTTGGAGAGTATTAATTGCTCTGTGACATAGCACAGTGCATCACATACCATATTTTCCTGTGAATAAGACGCTCCCATGTATAAGATGCCCCCCACTTTTCCAACCCAAAATTAAGAAATCAATATTTTAAACATAAAACAGAACACATTTTTAAAAATATATTGATTTTTTACAGAGAGGAAGGGAGAGGGGTAGAGAGTTAGAAACATTGATGAGAGAGAAACATCGATCAGCTGCCTCCTGCACACCTTCTACTGGGGATGTGCTCGCAACCAAGGTACATGCCCTTGACCGGAATCAAACCTGGGGTCCTTCAATCCACAGGCCGATGCTCTATCCACTGAGCCAAACTGGTTAGGGCCAGAACACGTTTTTATTTAGTAATTACCACAGGTAATGTTTACATACCAGTACTATGATGTTACACAGCATATCACTTTATTCAGTCTCTGTTGCATCACTGCTCTCTTCATCACTATTAGTTCCAGGCATATCAAGTTTTTCAACTTCTATTGTATCACTGCTGTTTTCTGAGTCACTGTCTATATATGTGAGATCACCTCATAAACTGGTGGCATTTTCTGAGTTAACTTTGTTCGTGTTCTCTTGGCCAACCCTTCTCTCCTCATGAAATTGCCTTTCCTGTAAAATCAACAATGTTCATTTTGCTTGCAAACATTCTTGCCTGACATTGAATAAGCTTGGTTGACACACATAAGCCACTCTGGTGCTGCTCCATAATCCAAGTCTTAAGCCTCTGCTCCACGTTTGCCCATTTTGCTGGTTTTCCTTTTAAGGTCTTCTTCTTTTTTCGCATCTTAAGGAGTTGTTCTTCCTGTTTTCTCCACTGTCTGATCATACAGTCAGCGGGAGGAGGTCCACATTATCTCCGCAGCTCTATTTCCATGCGCTTTTGCATAGATGATTACATTCAGTTTGAATTTTGCAGAGTAAGACAATCTCTTACCGGTATTTATCTTTTTATTTTTTTGACATCTTTATGGGCTCAGAATGCACTGATCCCCGTTGCATCTGTGCACTTTCCACCTCAGTGACAACAAGGCTAGTGATTGGAGGAAGCCTGTTTGACAAGGTATGGGCAGTTATGCACCTGCGTGGCTCCCTCCTTGGCTGCCTTCCGTGTATAAGATGCCCCTCGATTTTCAGTCTAACAATTTTAGAAAAAAATAGTGTCTTATATGATTTTAGAAAAAAATAGTGTCTTATACACAGAAAAAATATGGCAGTTGACCAATAATCAAAACACCTGTGGTGCCTATTAAACACAAATTCTGCTCCTGCATGTATTGTCCATGTGACCCAGATAAAGAGCACACCCTCTCTAATTTGGAAGCAGCCCTCAAATCTCCCTATGGTATTCTACTCAGCCCACTACAAATTTACCTCACCTGCCAAGTTCATGTAGACATTTGAGACTTTGATATTTGATTTAGGGGAAAAATAGGATTCTGACTCTAAAGAATAAAGATACATTTTACAGACAGCAAAATGCACTAGTGTATAATTAGATGAATTTGAACTAATATACACATTCATATGACCAACACCAAATAAAAATAATGGGAAAATGTCATCATTCCAGAAGTTTCCTTATGCCCCCTTCTTGTTAATTCCCAACCCCAGAGGCAACCACTGTGTTGAATAGTATCACAATAGTATGTTTGGGGATACTGATTTATTACTTCATAGTTTAGCCCAGATTATCAGGGACAAAAATTTGGTAGGGATTTGGAGTATAAGTACTAGGGTCAAGTGTTTGTTTTAGTGGGAGCATGATATATTCTCTTAAGAATTAAAGCAAGCCCTGGCTCAAGATAGCTCAATTGGTTGGAGTGTCATCCCAATACAACAGGTTTGCCAATTTGATTCCGGTCTGGACACATACAAGAACCAACCTTGGCTAAGATGTGTAACTCCTCTGGGTGTCATTTCTTCCATCTGTAAAATCTGAATTCCTAAGACTTCCCATCTATCTCTAAAGTTTGTGATTCCAAAACCTACATAGCAAGAGGTCCCAAATTTCACAAGGGGGCATTTAAAATTTTACTTTCACTATTTAAAAACAAAGTTGGGGGTAGACAGTGGACAGTTATGTCTAAGAAACTACATCAGGTTTTACCACATAATGGTGGAGGGGGAGACAAAGTCATAAACCAAAGTTGCTTTTCTTTTCCAAGCCTCAATTTTATCATATATAAAATAGAAATGATAATACCTACTTCATAGGATCATTGTGGAACAACAAATTGATGTTTCTCTCCCTCTCTTTCTACAATCAATTAAAAAGGAAAGAAGCAAGAAGGTATTAATAATGACACCTGCTATTTTTACGCACTAGCTATGTTCCAGGCACAATGTTAGGCACTTCACACATCATGGGCAAAGTATACACTTAGGCAAGAACAGGAACCCAACAAAATGTAGGAGCAGAGGTTGAAGAGAGCTGCCACATGGCACTTAATGTGAATAATTTGGCTACTAGTGTACATGGCTATGAGAAGTGAGAACTAAAGCTACAAGGGAAGATTAAGGCCACATCATGAGTAGAGCACTGTGTGCTGTGTTATGAAGTTTATATTTTATTCTACAGGTGCTAAGAAGTCATTAAAGGCTTGGGAGCAGACCACCCAGAGAAAGATTCTTAAGGATTTGGCATGATCTCAGTGAAAGCAGAAGATACTGTTTCAAAGTTGAGGAAAATATATGGAAATGGAATAAAGAAGGAAAGACCCTGGTGTTGATTTTCCTCTAAAAATAGAAGTGTATTTTATGAAGTGTATAAGAAAAAGGAGGAAGTAACCTTGGTCTAAGGCAGCGGTTCTCAACCTGTGGGTCGCGACCCCTTTGGCGGTCGATTGGCGGTCGAACGATCCTTTCACAGGGGTCGCCTAAGACCATCCTGCATATCAGATATTTACATTACGATTCGTAACAGTAGCAACATTACAGTTATGAAGTAGCAACGAAAATAATTTTATGGTTGGGTCACAACATGAGGAACTGTATTTAAAGGGCCAGAAGGTTGAGAACCACTGGTCTAAGGAATTTAACTGGTACTCTCCTGCCCTTGGATGTCTAACAGTTTCATTTCAGCACAGCCAGCAGAGCTGTGCAAGCCTTTGAGCTATAGTAGCTCTTGAGAGATTGTCGTTTACCTGAGGCGGCAATAATAGGAGTCCTGAGGGACAGCCATGACAGTTTGGATTTAGCTTTCAGGTAAATAGAAAGGTGGATGCTCCTTAGGCAGGAGTGGAAATAAGATTAGGTGAGGCAGACAAATTTATCCACTTGATGCCTGATCTAGCTTTAGGCCCAGTTAGTCCCACAGTGGAATAATTTGGCAATTTTCATTTGTCATTTCCTGATGTTCATTGAGAGGCTACAGCAGAGAATGAAAGCTAAATCTGGGCAGCATTTGATATGGGTCCTTTCCTCTTCCCCTAGCTTTAAGCAGGCAAACAGATCCTTCAGGGCATATTCCGTTCTCCTGGGGAGTGACACGAAGAAGGCATGTGGCCTCAGGTGTGGCTCTGCCAGCATCACTAATCCTCTAAACCAGTGGTTCTCAACCTCGGCTGCACATTAGAATCCCCTGGGAATCTTTTTAAAATCCTGATTTCTGG